CTACTACCTACTACCTACTACCTACTACCTACTACCTACTACCTACTACCTACTACCTACTACCTACTACCTACTACCTACTACCTACTACCTACTACTACCTATACCTACTACTACTACTACTACTATAACTACTAACTACTAACTACTAACTACTACCTATACCTACTACGACTACGACTACGACTACTACTACGACTACTACTACTACTACATAGGAAGCAAGGATTGGGGGCCTATTCTATTCTACTTTAACGTGCATTACCGCAAGCAATGCCGTTCCAGGGTGCTGCCTTAACGCTCATTACCGTGCTGTGGTTTGATCACAAACTCACAACTGGTCTTTACTTGGTCATGGATGTCTTGTATGGACTTCATAATGGCCTGGTTTGTGGCATTCCTGGATCTTGATCAACAACGTCAATGGCATGAGGTTACTCGAGGCTCCCTTACAATGCAACGCAATACTATATACTTCCGACTCCTACTCCTACTCCGACTCCGACTACGACTACTACCACGACCACGACCACGACCACGACGACGACGACTACTACTACTACTACCACTACTACTACTATTATTATTATTATTACTACTACTACTGCTACTCCTACTCCTACTCCTACGCCTGCTCCTACTCCTACTACTACTACTACTCCTCCTCCTGCTGCTATTGTTGGTGCTCCACTTGGGTGCTGAAACTGCAACTGCTACTTCCTTCATCTTCTGCTTCAACATGCTTCAACCAGTTCTCCCTCCTTTCCAAGGCGCATGGTGTGCGTCTTTCCTGCACCGGTCTGGCCATAGGCAAACCTCAGGTTCAAGGACGAACACTTTGGCCATGTGACACATTCGCGGGAGGGAATCTCCTCAGCCCTCAAACTAACATGGACCATGAAATTTACCCTTGGAAGATGATGTTTGACCTTCCAAAACCATCAGTGCGTGTAAACTGAAGCACACAGAACTCTACAGAACTCTGCGCTTTTTGGACCCACCGCTACTCGACGACCATCGGCGCATCCGCGCAACGGCTGTGAAGGACCTCGGTGAAGGTGAGCTCGCGCCACAAGTGAAAACCGAAATCCTCTGGTGTCCCCAGGTTTTCTTCAATGAACCCACAAAACGATCAAGGTATTGTACCTGGGATGGGAAGTTGATTGACCGACCAAACAATGATGTGACTCCATGTTTCGACATGGGATACAGTATCTTGACATATCAAATCTCTTCCACCTTTCTGGACCTCAGAAGCGGGTCTTCATGCCTTCACAATTCAAAACCTGTTAACTGACAGACACAAAGTAGGAGAAGCGAACTGAGAATCGATGATTCTCGTTTATCCAGGATGTATCCATGTACCCATCCATCCACATCCACGAACAAACACCGTCATGAAACTCTAAGCCTCGGTTTTGGCCAGGTCATCCAAGGTGAACGATGGGTGACTTCAATCGATGTGGCACACAATCCACGTGGATCTCATTGACCTAGACCTAGCTGTAAGCCAGTCTTGGATTGTGATGTAAGCCAGTCTTGGCTTAGACACACATCAATAGATGTAAGGATCCCAATCGAATTCTGAAGTGCCCCACCTTTCAACTAGTGACTTCGGTGTTTTTCGGTGTTTTTCGGTTTTGTTCGCCACGAAGTCCGCGTCATCGGAGAACACCTCCGTGGCGTGGCTCGTCTTTCGGCCCAGCGTCAATTGCTCGACTTCGTGCGCCGACTCCTGTGACCGCACGACTGCCGCACGACATGTCTTTATTTACGGCATGTGGGTGTATACATACATATTATGACGGTGGGTCATGGCACCTGGCCACCCTGGTTGACTCTTGAACATGAACCAATTCCTCTATGTCTGGGGAGTCTACCTACCACGGTTTGGAGAGGGAGGTGCCATGACTCACAGCCATATGATGTGGGTGTGGATTCTGATAGGGAGACGTTCCTGGCCCTGGCTGGGTCAACTGGTCTATGTCCCGAACCGAACCCAGGGGGTGGGAACGCCTGGGAGGTCTGAGGTCTTCCTATTTTAATGCACACCCAAACATAGGGGAGGTCTTCCTATGTCATATCTGAGGTCTTCATATCTGAGGCCTTCCTTTTTTTTCTGTACTTATACTATTTTATTCTAATATAGTATACAGTACAGATATATGGCTGAGCCACAGAGGGATGGCGATTTTTCACGCCAGAGATTCTGGAGGTTGGCCACCAATTTCTACTATACCCTGCAGGTGGCAATAAATCCTTTCATATTGTGATCGATTAGTTGGTTCGATTTGCTGTAAAACATTGGCCGCTACCCACGTGGAACTGCGGTTTGAACTTGATGAAGGCTTTATTTCGATCCTAATTCTTGTCTCTTCCGGCTGGTGAGCCCAGGTTGCTCCTTGAGTGCAAATGGATGGCCGCCCCAAAGACAAGACTCAATGCACAGCGCCCGGGAGAGCTCGTTGGATGGAAGTCCCTCAGACTCCATCCTCAGCACCGCACAGCCGGCCTCTCCCGCATGGGAAGTGCTACACAGCTTATAATCCCTGTCTGTACTACTGATGAGGGTGGAACGATATTTTGATCAATATGATACCGTCTCCCTGGTGACAGGAAAGGATGCCAAATGGGGATGCCAAATGCAGCGCTTGCGGCTGAGTCTTTGGGAAACCTCGAGTCTTTGGGCCTCCGGACTTCGCACAAAAATCCCTCGCACGGCCATGCCAGTGCTTTGACCTGCTGAAATGACCGGAACCCAGGAACTTCATGAGGCAGCCTCTGCCAATCTACAACTTCAAACAGCTCTCTTTTCTGTGCAGCTTGGAGAACCTGCTATGAAGGAGGAGAGATGCCAAATCGTCGCAGTGAGCAAGAAATCATTGGTGAACCACTAATCCGCCCGTTTTTCTGGAATGTTCTTGACTTGACGTGCAGTTACGCGCCTCCACTATATTCAGGATCCACAGATATCCACGGGAACTTTTGTAGCGATGCTTCCTGTTGTACTGTTGAGCCACTGTTAGGTCACTGTTAGGAGACCCTTAGGAGCCTCAGGAGCATACCTGCCAAGCGTCCACCTCAACAATCGAAGGCTCCACCAAGGTTGGCTGCACTTTGCGCAAGCACTGATACTGCTGGCATAGCTTTGCCTCACTGAGAGAGAGGAAAATAATCGACCGCTGGATGAGTCAAGGATAGTCAAGGCTTCAGAACAGAATCCGTGTATGAATCGGATTGACAGTTTCAGGACAAGAGTCGTCTGAGATCCAGTGTGGCAAACAGCAGCCCGTGAACATCAAGAACTCACATCAACATCCGGAGAACATACTCTCCCTGGAACTAACACGGGACTGGAAAACCACCACCTGTTTGTAGTGGATTTCATGGTCTTCCGAACTCGGGGCCATGCCATCCACTTCCATTCCACGTAACCATATTAGTTCCAGGGAGAAAATACATCACGGGTGAGGACCCGTTGCCACTTCATGCCACTTCCCCACCCAGGTCCGCCTGGTCCCGACCGTGTCGAGGAAGCGCCGATGTTCGGACGCCACGCGAAGCAAACATCGGAGCCCCAAGTGAGTCCTGCGCAGCATGATGCCTAATGAAACAGTAAACAAGAAGCTGCTAGGTTGGAGGCCATCGCTACTAGCAACAGGAAGCTACTAGTCCCGTTGTTAAGTGTTGGATGCTGCACGGGATGGTGCACAGCAGGCTGATCGAATCGAATCCTTTCGAAACCCAAGGTACTCGTCCCGTGGATGATCTCTCCAAATCATCTCCATTAGCCCTTCGAGAGCCCAACGCCTCGGTGGTTCACCACCGGTGAACCCAGCGACCCATCGGACAGCGCCGTGTAGCTCAGAGCACCGAAACACGGTTCTGTCGCACGGTGCACCGAAACACGCCACGCCTTGAAGAGCTTGTTCGTTTCTTGGTTTCGTTGCCCTACTCACTTGCAAGGCCCAACAACAGTCTTTGGCGACAAGGTGATTGATGAATGAAAGTGTGATGTTGCAACTCCTAGGTTGTAGATGAGACACCCAAATTTTGCAGAATCAACCTGCAAAAGGTCCTGCCGGGAGAGTTTCTGGCTTTCGAGGTTAAGCATGCTAAAACACATTTTCAGCGGAAATTGCAGCCTTTGTGGGTCTACTAATTTAAGTCTGTTTCTGGCCTACATTGCACGATTTTCTGCAAAACAAAACTGCCTACGCTGATCATCGCTGATCCAGCCAAAGGTTTCTCATATGTGGTTTGACGCCTGGAATCCATGGGCAACCCAATCCTAACCCTCAATCCAACGGGACTGAAGTCTAGAGGAACATGACCCACAACATAGTATTCCTAGACAAGTTGCTGGGATGTCAACAAGTTCAAACAAAATAGACAAAGTAAAACAACGTACGAAGTGCAAAGAAGCGAGAATCATACACCCTCAAGATTCAACAGTGTCACAAAGTAAACAAATGGTGCACAAACAAAACGTTACTGTATATATTTTACTTATATATATATAGTTCTCCCATAGTTGCCTGGGCAGGGTAGATAGGTACAGGGTTGACAGCAGGGTCAGCAGGGTGGCTAGTGATTTGGGCCAAATAAGAACGGCTAAGAACAACGGAATCATGCGCGGTTGAGCTGCCACTGGTGTCCACTCTCGAAACTGCTGATGACCGAGTTCAGGCCTTGACCAGGCTGGTTGGAGAGTTGACTGGAGGGTGAGTGGGAGTATGTCATGAAGCTATGACTGTGTGAGCGTCCCACTGAAAGGTGCGGACCAACTGATGTGAGCGTCCGACTTGAAAGTAATGGCCTCCAACCTTTAATGCCGATGGCCTCCAAGCTATACTAGCTTCTAGCTACCATTTCACAGAGAAGTCTGAAGCCTAAGCAAAAGGCAAGATGGGCCAAGACGCAAATCTGGTTGGGAACCAGCAAGGAGGCGCTCATCGTTTGAAGCAAGTCAAGCACTGGCCGCCATCGACCTTTTTGATCGCAAGCACCTGCAAGTCTGCAACTATAGCCAACAGCCAAACAGCACAGATGAGTAAACACCTGAGCAGCGATGAACAATTTAGGACAATGCTGACGATGATGATACTCTAAGTGGCCAATTCTTCCTAGCCAAACACACAGAGACACCCCAATACCGAGCACGCAAACCACCCGCCGGCACTCACCGCCGCAGCGAAGCTGATTTCATCTGGCTGACCATGTCCTGTGGACACGAACCGCGGGTCAAAGGGACCTTGTAGAACAAAACAGCGTGACAAACCTCATTGCGGACCACCATTTCCGAGCCGCCCCCAACACTTGAAGAGCACGAAAATACCATGCGACTCGGTAAACATGCCCTGAGTTTCGCTGGTGTTCATGCCGCTCGTGATGTGACGGTCATTTTTTTACGGTTACAGGTCACCTTGACATCCACGGATCGATCGATCGCCCGTCGGTTCCCTTTCCGCACCGTGAGACCACCTGGACCTGCTAGGAGAGCTGGCGGATTCCGGGAACCCTAGTGGAACCCGTGGGGAATGAAGGCTCTGAATAGATGTTCTGAATGGAACCCAAACTCTCTGAGTCCGTGCTAAGACTGAAGTTAAGCATCCCTATAGTAAGTTTAAGTTCCCTAAAGATCTAGGCCCCACCCTGAACCAAATTGTGCGAGCGCTTCTTCAAGGAAGCGCGAAGCTTTTCGGGGGAGCTTCCTTGAAGAAGCGTGCGCTATCCTGCATCCTAAGTAGTAGCACTTGTAGGTACTAGCTACCTCTTCTACTAGCTAAGCTAGCTACTACCCTCTACGGCCTACCCCCCCTCTCCCTCCAAAAAAAACACAAAAGGAACTCCTAGCTAGCTGTAGCTCATGCTACTTTCTGTCAAGCTCGCGTCATTCCTTCAAGTACTTGCAGTAGATTTGCGGCATACTCCCAGCGCCCCGCCTGCGAGTTGCATGAACGTATGAGATGTCTTGGGTGCAAAGGTCATTGAGTTGGATCAGTGAAATAGGGAGAAGGGAAATAGACCAAAACCCATGGGTTGGGGGTCTCCTTATTTGAAAGCACACCCAGTTGTCTTATGCAAAAGACAAAAAATTGGGTGCCCTGAGTTGTTTACCCGGCCAAACCCGTGTTCGCTCCTGTACATCTTTTCGCTCTTTAAGACTCTTGAGTGACACAGCGAAACATATCGAAACATCATGAAACATCATTTAGCCATGGACCCACATTCATTGTCCAACGATGGGTGGATAGAGATCTTTCGACCGGAGCTGTCCACATTGCCAAGGATAGAACCTTTGGCCTGGGACCACAACAGCCGAAATAGCACGCTCAAACGTGTCCTCCATCGCCTGCCCACAGGCGCTCAGGGAGGCATTGTAGCTAATTTCATCTGCGCCCACGCGATGAAGCTGCAGCTGAGCTAGCCAACTCAAAGCCTTCGACCACTCAGCGCCCTTCTCCAAAGCACTCAGCATGCTATTGTAGCTGATTCCTGGAGCCCGAGTCCACGAGATGTTTTCCACTGTGTTCCGCCAAAAAACGAAAACCCGACGAGTCCACGAGATCTCATGGGTTGATCTTTCTTCTGACGCAGAACAAGACGTTGACTTCGCCAAGAACCAATCGGGATCGACTCCGCTTCGTGTTGGACTCGAACGACCCCCGCCGTGGGATCGACTGGAAGTGTCCGAGGGTCGATTGGGCTCTTCAGTGGCCGCCAAGAGGGTGAAGCTCCTCCACCATGTCCCTGGAGAAGAAGGAAGCCCGTCACCAGGTGCCCTTTCTGGGGCGGCCCAGTGAAAAACAATGGTGGCAAATGAACAATACTCAACACATCTTCAGTGTCAGTTCAGAAACCGCACCTACACACTTACTGCACAGGATGCTACTTTGGGAGTGTCCAAATTCCAAGAGCGATGGAAGATATGGAAGCATGCAAGTACTTCAATGTTGGCGTACAGCGGAACCGGCACTGAAAAACAAGGACCCCAGAAGGTCATGAGTACAAAGTACTCATAAATTCAACTTACGGTATCTAATATATGGTTGTCGATCTAAAGGTCCTAGTCAGCAGTGTGTATGACGATGACCCGGAACATATCAAAATCTCATTTGGCGAAAGTTTTTTCTCGAGTTGGCGAAAGTATTTTCTTTTTGGCGAAAGATCTGGCGAAAGATTAAATATGTACTTTTGTATGAATGTTCATTTGCTTTCTGAACAGCTGGTGGCAGTGACTCAGAAGCTAGATGAGCTGTGGAAGTTAGATAACCTGCTGCTGCTGCGGCTGCTACTACTACTACTACTACTAGTACTACTACTACCACTACCACTACCACTACGACTACTACTACTACTATTCCTGCTCCTGCTTTGCGGGGTGGCTTTGCCACAAAACTCTACCCCGCAAAAGGCGAAAGTTTGGCGAAAGTTCAGCTCAAGATTGGCGAAAGTTCACCCTGCCACATCTGACCCCCAGCCCATTATGAGTAAGTTTGAGTGACCGGCTACTACAGTGATTCTTGCAATTTTGATTCTTGCTGACACCCAGGAGAAACAAAAGAGACGTACAGGGTGTCAACAGTTAAGTAGAAGACACATGCTGACAAACAGTGAAGTTTCTATTTTGTGTTTGCCAGTAAAGAAGAAGCCATTGACGTGAACAAAACACAACATACATGGCACACATAAATACAACGTACTTCGGCGAAAGATAAAACGCAGGAAGGCGAAAGTTTGGCGAAAGTAATTTTTTTGGCGAAAATGACGGATCCCGGATAAAGGAATTTAGATCAACTCCCACATATCATCTATAGTCTAATATCATATCATCTATATCATCTATAGTCTAATATCATATCATCATATATCATCACATCATATCCACTGATATCCATTCATATCCTGTAAGGTTCCCCCCCCAAAACGTGGCATTTCTTCTAACTTCATACTTCAATGTCTTCCATGTCTGTATTCGGGCCTCCCGAGGCGCTGGAGGCAGCGTTGAAGGTGATCCGATTGGGAGTGACCAGGCTCCACGGCATCCACTCCAAGAAGCTCAAGGCTCCTGGCGCCGAGCGCGGTACCATCCATCGGCTTCGGCCCGGTGCTCGCGCGGGCTTCGGCTGGGGCCGCTCGGGCTTCGGCCCGGTGGCGGAAAGCGCGGTTCTGGACAATGTGGTACCATCGAAATACACACGACATCGACGTGATGGCCAAGACTATGTAAAGATTCCGGACGTGCCCCGAAAAGATTGACTCCGGTGAAAGATGACGGAAACCCTGAAAGGCCACATTATGGCTTGCACAAGGTTTTCGTCACAAGTCGCAAATTCATGTCAGCACGAGCTGCTCAAGTCACCACTTGCACTACTTGACGAGCGCAGCCATTTTGACGCGCATAACATGTCAGCAGTGGAGGTCCACTTTCAGCGACTGGATTGGTTCCCATCTCCGGCTCCACCTCACCCTATCTTGCTGAAACTGTGGAGCGTGCAAGTTCTGAACCCCAGCGGATTCAGTGAGAGTGGTGGCACACATGCCTCCCAGCCTACCTCTGACCGGATCATTCAGTTCAATGCCAATATCAATTCCTCGCTGGTGACCTAGACCAACCATCATTCCAATACATATCTGCATTGGGACCTCCCTATGAGTGCTTAGAATCGTTGAGATTTGTACTTTGTTGGAATTTGTTGGTTATTATGATTATATATGCTATATAAACCTAACGTTATGTCGTCCTAAAATATGTCTTTGTGCTTACTATATGAGTTAATTGTTCTCTGGTTCTGAAGAGGCGTCCTGTCCAGTTTGAGCACTTCTCACAGGCATTGATCCTCAGCTGTCCATCGTCCAATCAAAGATCTTCGCAAATGATCAATACTCATCGATACTCCGTTCTAAGGAATGTACAACCCACATCAACCAACATCAAACAAGGGCGTCTTAAGTTGTTCCCAGTAGCCGCATATTCTTCGAACAAAACGTTTTCTTGTCCGTCCAAAGCAGCGTGTTTTGCTGGTGCTGTGCGTCGAATAAACGTGGTGAACACCCTGCAAAAACCGTTCAAGTCCTTGGTGTCATGGGATACTCATCGGACGTAGTGTGACCACTCCCTGGCAAGTCTCAAGGCGCTTCCGGGTCGTTCATCTGCTTGGAGATCTGTCTTCAGTAAACTCAAGAGAAGTCCTTGGGCTCGTTGCCAGTGCCCCACCTCCGCGCAACTACCTCAGGTCGGTCGGACCGAGACTATCGTCGGCTGACCCACGGCTCGCTCGAGACAACTGGTCAAAACACGGGATGCCCAATGTTGCTCCACTGTAGTTCCTTACTGTCAAGTTGCCCCACAAACAACCCTGATATACCCTGATGCTTTTATCAAAACATCTCAAAACTCTGACGCCGCCAGTCAGGAGATCCAACTAGTTGAGCAACACAATCACGTGCCGGCTGCCAGTCCCAGCTTAAGCTTTTCACCTTAATAACAGCACACACTGTTCGCCCTTTGTCTCCGACAAGAGCGTAGTCGTGGCCGGAGCAATTGTGTTTCGGCCGGTCAGATCGGGAGGGGAGGGTTTTGTCATGCCTCATCCATCAACAGTCTAGATTACTGCCAACTTCATCTGCCGCCAAAGGTCTCACGGATGCAATGCAGCCGATTAAATTGCAGGTGAAGGAGTGCCGCAGGGAGCCTGCTGCACGTCTCCAGCATATCCAGCCACTTCGGCTTGGGTCACCAGTACTTTGAAAAACATGACGAAGGTGTTAGTTACACACAGCCACTGCTTTCGACCAGAAGTTGATCATTTCAACCAAAACTGGTGAAGCTCCTTCCTTTTCAGAAAGGCAACACGAGGCATCACGACGCATGTGTGATTTCATGTTGACGCACTCACAAACGGCTCACAAACCACCAGAAGCACCACTCGGCTCACGACACGGTGCTGACGAGCAGCACTGGCGTATGGACAGCGAGAGACGCCATTCACCACATGGGGAGGCCAAAGTATTGTAACTTGCCAGGTCGGCTTCCACCTGCGCTAGTCCTGAGTGATGTCCACGACCAATGCGGAACACCTGTTCACGATATATATTATATTACGATTCATTCATTATAATATACATATAGCGTGTATCTATAGTCATATATATATAATCACACACATATATATATAGTTATATGTATATATTATATATATCTATACATATATACGAATGGGTCGGGTTTGATAGGTTAGGCAGGTTTGTAGGGTTGGCTGCGCAACAGGTTCACTTGTCACCCTCAGCTAGCTTTGTTGGCGGCATCAAGCTTGCCATAGTTTGGCACACCAATGGTGACAAAGTAAGTACACTTGCACAAGTTGTGAGGTATGTTCAAAGTAGGCATCAGTTCGGGCATCGGTTAGGCGCTGCGGTTGCGCACTGCAGCTCTTCTAAGTAGACCCTTACACCCACCAAAGGCACAACACATTTGACTGCAATGGTTTCACAAAAGCTGTGGCCCCTGGCAGGCCCCATCATCCAGTTGCCATGGGGCAACAACAAATTCTCTCAATTCAGCTGCAAGACAGGTCCACTGGTATAAGCAACTCAAACTAAGAAGAACAACATGCCAGATGTTTGCACCAGCTAAAATGTAGCATGGCAGCATGCTTCCTGAAGTAGTTGGTACATCGAAAGGGCATCGGTAGCCGGGTCGGCCCCAATCAGTTGTGCAGGTTTGATGCAGGTGTCCAATATCCCAAGACCGCCCTTGGAACTTTAGTGTTCGATGGAATGGACTTAGTCTGATGCTCAAAGATCTCAAAGTGTCAGGCGTGAAACCGTTCTGCTTTGGATCGAGCCCCTTGGCAGTAGTGCAAAGTGATCTGGCGATACAATTTTAAGGAATGGAACACCTCCGGTGTCTCAAAAGGGGAGGATGGGAATTTACTCGATGACGGATTCTTAACCAGCCAACCCACCACACGGTCAGGCACAGCTGGCACAGAAAACCTCTGTTTGGACCCCCATCCCGCCTCGGTTGGTCCACACCCTCTGGGTGCGCCCCAAGATCACTGCCACGCACCCCAGCGCGATCCCGTCATCCCATCGGGTCCCAGCGTCCCATGGCGCGCAGCGAGGCCAGCGCCTCCGACCATCGTCGGCCCTTGACCCAGGAGTTGATCACCGCCTCGGTCATGCACCGCGCCATCCGACCCGACCGCGGGGCCCCGGGGAGCGAAGGCACCGCGGACCGCGGTCTGCGTGTTCGACGAAGGCACTGGGAGCGAGCGTGGTGGCTGGAGCGAGCATGGGAAGGGGGTGTGAGTTTTTGACAGGTTCTGTGGGATGAGACGACAGGATAAGGGCAAACCGCTGGGAATGATATCAGCAACAAGTCCTACATATACTATATTATTACATCATTGTTACTTTATACTATCATACACTCTACTTGGAACATCTTGGAACAGAATCAGCTGAGACTCTTTGAGTGGAGCAAGCTGGGACTTCCTCAAACCGGACGGTCACTAGACTATGTATTGATGATCTCTTTATACCTCTTGATCCAGGGAGTCCAGCGTGCAGTGGGTGGTTTTGGGAACGGGTCAGATCCGAAGGAAGAAAGGCATGTGCGAAAACCATCCGAAACCTTTAAGGCACCTGTGTACTCATGCCTCTTCGACCCACAGTTCCAACTTCAACCACGCAGTCACCCTTTCAATCCCCACAATTTGGCATTGCCTCCCGAACAGGTAGCAGAACAACAAACAAAGATGATTAAAACTTGCGTCCAGTGCGAAGACGAAAACCAAAGGGATCGGGCGGGCAATCATGGCGAGACTCCGAGAGTGATCGTTCTCCTTTCTTGTCCGGAGTGTGTTGAACAAGACTAAAATACTCACTCTTCTACGCCAGAGTTGGCCCAGGACCCTCTGCACTGCCGTTGAAGGACACACTCCACATTACACACCACCTGAGCTTGGTAGCAACCATAGAATCACACCTCATCGCCTTCACCGCGATGTGGCTCGCGCCATCGCACGGGTCGCCGCACATTGTAGTGGAAACTGTTCAAATCCACCCTGTGTGCTGACAACTGCCGGAAGGCTCTCCTCGGAGAGAAACTCTTAAACCCAGGTGGTCGTTGGTCCGCGATTGGAGTTATGAGCTAAGCCAAGAGAGAGCAAAGCCCGTGGCTTTTTGTGACACTCTGACACATATCATATACAATAGCCAATGGCTTTCTAGATTCTTTCTAGTGCTTTACCTTTAGATGGGGCCCTAATGGATGTTTGTATGGCAGTTTTCTCATTCTGTCGAGGCTTTGTCGGATAGTTCTCTTCGACTCTGAGCGCGGACGGATACTCGGCAAACAAAGCAGCGAAAGCAGGCGAAGGCAGGAAAGGAGCTTACATGGGAAGAAACATACCCTAAGTGTTCATAGCACGTTCAGGTACAGTATCTGGTTCCTTCCTTCCTTCCTTCCTTCCCTCTTCTGTTGGCCAACTTGATTGAAGGTGACAGCCGTGGATCACTACTGAGGCAGCACCATGGCACTTTACCCCTCGGGCACCAACAAGGCACCATCCTGGAACTGGCTCCTCGGGCACGGAGATGGTTCCGAAGATGGCATGGCAACCGTTGCCCTGAGCACTTGTCGTCTTATTCTGCGCATGTCTGCGCTGAAATGTCTCGCTCAACATGTCCAGATCGTTGACGTTTGATGATCTTGGCCGCGGACAACACCCGCCACTGTCATTTAGGGGATGGACTAGTGCCTATATTGATATGAACATGATAGTGTTGAAGCTTGCAGTGGCTACTTAGTGCGACATGCTTGTATGGCGCTCTACATTTTCGGGCGGACGTGGCTCACAGCTTCGACATGTGGTCATGGCAGCCACGTAGTTGGGAATGCGTGCCAGTTCCTATAGGTCCTATACCTTTGTTGCTGGCGCCACCAGCAGGTGAAAGTGGAGCATGTAAGGGTAGCCCCAGAATGCACAATCAGGTGAAGGTGGGCATGCACTGGCTGCAATGTCCCAAAAAACCACCCCAGGGTGGCTCACAAAGGTACGCTGCACTTCGCCTGGCAAAAGTTACCTACGCGTTGCTCAGAAAAGGTTTGCTACGTGGGAATCGGCTCGCTGACAAAAGGCATCTGTATTGGAACAGTGGCCTCGGGTGGCTCACAAACCTGGCTGCCTTACATGTTTTGCCCTCGGGCGGCTCACCAAAAGGTATGCTACATTGGAGTGTTTTGAAACGTATTTTGACACAAGGACATTTGCAATCCAAAGTCACAAGGTTACAAGTAGCGCCAACAACGAAGCAGGCTTCCTTCCTTCATTCTGTCGAACATTTCTTGCCTGTCTCCCTCCCTTCCGCCTTGCCTTCTTTGCATCCACAAAAAACTCAAGCAGCGTTACATTCTCACCCATTGTCACCGGCCAATCAAGACCAGTCAGAACCAAGAGCTGCAAATAAAAAACACCCACCCTGTAATTTCAAGTCCACAGGCGTCTTAGGAGTCCGTTGGTCAGTTACCTCTTCCTGCCATTGTTGAGACGGGTATGAGACGGGGATCCTCGGAAATCAACGCCAACGCGAGTCCGACACGACCACCCTCCTCCAAACTCTTGACCCCACACAACTGCTCTGAAGGCGTCGTGAGTGGCTTTGGCGCTGCCAGGGACTTCAAGTACCTTGGAGTCCCGACGGCTCGTCAGGCTCAAGCAAAGGAATCAGGGGATCAGAACTCTGCAAAGGCCCGACTTGCCAAGCCTGTCTCTGTGCCTAGGCCGATTCTTCCCGGGCCCAACACCCAAAAGGACAGAAACCATCACCGTGTTTGGTGATGGTTGGTGCTTGACTCAACAGCCGTGGTTTCCGCGTGGGTCGAACAACACCTGTTTTTCACCTTGTCCTTCGGTTGTGCCACGGTGCCGCAAGGTGCTGCGGGAGTCCAGTAGAGAGCTGAATGGACTCTGCGTGCCGTGGAGGGAGTTCGCCTCACAACCACCACTGTCCACCAGGTGAACAAATCATGTCCCAGAAGATCTCCGTGTCTAAAGCTTTGAAACACCAGGAGGACAAGTAAAAAAAATTGGTCAAGAACATTCAAGAACCATGAATCTATAAGAATCCATCTCATGCCTCATGGCTCCAGTTCCAAAGTACATGTCAAATGTCATCACCCCTCAGGAAGGGTTTTTCACGATGGGGCGATGAGGAGACACTGGCAGTTGAGGCACTAGTTGAGGCATCTAAGCATCGACGGCGCGAACTGAGCATGTCCAAAAGCCACGTTTTTGACCTGGCTTTGTGATATCAAACATTCAGCCACGAATTCCTAATCATTCCTAATCCATCTGTGGGGGATTCTCACTGGCACATGAAAAGGAAAAGGTCGGTTGTTGGGAGGAGTCTACAAGATTGAAAAAAAGATTGCTCTATAGTCTACAAAGTCTTAAATGATCTCAAACAAGGTCTAGTTATCTAATAAGATCTAATAAGTCCAATATAGTCCAATCAATATGTTCTTGATTCATCTTGATTCAATATATTCCAAATAGGATGACGGGGCAGTTACATCCATCGGCCCTTGATCGCTTCACGTTCGCACCCCCAAACTGCCCGGTCGCCTCGGCCCCCATGGGACGGTTGCTTCAGCGCGTCTGGGCGGCTGGGGCCCACTTCGACCCATCGCTCGCACGCCGAGGCACCTGACGGTGTGGTGGCAAACGACCCCGCGGCGGACGGCGAAGCGGCCTTTTTGCCCCCGTGGCCGAGCGCAGGCCGCAGACCGCGGGGTGGGGTTTCTCACGGAGAGAAGAGATCGGCCGTGGCTGGCGTGCGATGCCTCAAAACAAGGCATGGACCCAGAAAAGCAACATCCCATGATGATCACTGTATAACTCGTTTGATTCAAACAGGTCGCCATCCTCTGTGCACCAGCGGTTTAGGGATCGATTGGTGAGAGTAGGGCCAACGCACTTGTCAGGCTGAAGAGGTCAGGACATGTCGGGAGCCCAGCAATTGATATTGTACCAATGAATCTGCTTCACCGCTGGAGTTGTAGGAAGCTTTGGTTTGCCCAACATTCGCACCAAATACCAAATGTCAAGCTGAAGTGGCAGGGAGGCAAGCACTCAGAGCAAAGCAAACGAGTGAATGAACACCCCCTCCTTCCTTTTTTGCCACGCAACACCTCATGATGTTGGGTGGCTTTGCTGGCTTGGCGCCACTGGTGGGTGGTCTTTTCTGCAACAATTCCATCGAGGCTTCGAGCTGAAGAAGTTCAGAGTTGGTGTCCCTCGTTCTCTTTTTGGGATTCTGTAAAACCTCAAACAGGGGATTCCTTTTTTGGGATTATTTTTGGGGATGCCTAGGCTGGTTTTATTTGCGAAATGGTAGCATGTTGAAAGGGCGCGGTCTTATTTGAACGGGTGCTTCTTTGGGTTTGAATATGTTTGAATATTTGGACTTGAAAGTGCGCAAAGTGTAATATGGTGCATTATATAGTGCAACCATGTGTGTTCGCATAATCAGAAATAATACGTATCATATACACTGTAACCACAATACGTTGACACATGTTGACACCGGTGATGAAACGGAACCCACTTGCGACAGCCACCACGTACCCCCCCCCATTAACCATGGCATTTAGTTAGAAGCCATGATTTTTTGCATTGTGTTTGGAAATCTTTTTTTGCTGTCGTGGTTTCTCTGTAGTTGTTCCCCCATTGGAAGTGGAAGGCTAGCTGTCTGTGTGCAAAAATGCAAACCAGCTGGACCACAAGGCAAAAACAAAAACAAAAACTCCGCCTGCAAGGCGAACAAACATGAGACAAGTGTATGATATTGGAGAAGGGAGTAAAGAATGGAAAGGTGTTGCTCATATGATGCACTTGGGTTGTCCTTTAAGTTGAGACAAACACAACAACCAGTAGAGCAGAAACCACACAACAAGAGTAGGAAAAGTATAGAGCACCAAAAATGAGCAGCAATGAAGCAACACAAAATCAAGGCTTGAAAAGTGACGGCAACAAAGGCCTTAGAGAGCGGCAGCAATGACAACAGGGAAACAATACAACACTCAGCTCAAGTGACCCCACCCAACCCATGTCAGCAACGGGCGCACGTCAGGGATAGCTGCACAAGCATGGGCTGGTCCAACCAGTGGCAGACCCAAGCAGTCACACCTAATATTGCACTTGGGCAATGAATACGGGGTGGGAGGGTGGGGATTTCAATCAATGAAGCAGCCACTTCACAACCACAAGCTAGGCTCAGCTGCATGAAAAGAACCAGAAGGGTGAGTGTTAGGGCTAGCATCCAAAAGTATGTGAGCAACCGCCACAAAGAGGACAAGAAGCAGGAAAGTAAAGAAAAGCATGAGAAAAGCCAGGAAGAGCAAGACCAGCGTTAAAACAGCAAGAAAAGCAGGAGACATCACAGCGAAGCAACAAAGCAGAGGAAAGCTTGGAAAAGCAAAACAGACACAAGCATGGCAGGAAAAGCAAGAAAGGAAGGAGCAACCACAAAGAAGTAACGAAAAGCAAGACAAACATAAAAACAACAAAAGCAAAAGATCATGAGACATCATTGTAGATAAACAATGAAAAGCCAGAAACGCATAGAAAAGCAACAAAAAGCAGATCCAACAAAAATGTCCCTAAACGCAACAAAGAAAATACACCGAAAAGATAGCCTTCTATTCCAAAATGCCGTTGGAACAACTTCCTCACATTCCTTCAAAAGAGGACCCTTAACTTTTACCATTTCAGTCTGAGCACCAATCCAGGGTCATCAAAAATCGAGTTCCAGTGCAAAGCCACGCGATCTGCGGGCCTGGCAGTCATTCCATGGCTTTCCATGCGCCCCGCGAACCCGTGGCTTTTGCGGAGCCTTCCGCCGTGGAGGCCGCTGGGCCGCGGACGGCTGATCTATGAGACCACTGTTGAGCCATAAAGGACTGTTGAGCCGTATGTGAAAATACATCCCAGCCTATAGAACTGGTAGCCAGTTGCCAAAACTGGAGAAGAAGTCAAGTTGAAAGAAATGACTCAGGCAGCATTCCCGATCTAGAAGCTCCATTGAGTTGCAAGAGATTCGTCACAACCCTATTATACCCTGTTTCCAACGTGCAAAAGTGGGCCCGAACAGAAGAACCGATCCAATGAAAGGTTCTTTCCTGCCTTTTCCCAAAGTGAACCGATCAGCGAGTCTGGGAATGTCTGGGGTGAAATCCAAAATCACACGATTGGTCTGACATGATAGTTGCAACTTATATACAGTCTTATATACATATACGCACATATATATATATATATAACACGTTTCCATGCATTGTCCATTATAATCAAACCATGTTTTCATGCGATTGGCCGCCAGAATCGACCGCATCCTGTGCCGCCCTGGGGACCGACCGGGTGCTCCGAGCACTGTGACATTGAAGCCATCGACGGCCGAGGCCATCAGACCCCGGCAATCCGCGAAGACATCCTCCTGAGAGCTGTGCCTGAGAGCTGTGTAGGGAAACTGAAAACCAACGCCCCAGATGTCCAAACAAAAGGACAACACCTTGTCATGCCTGATCTAATATCCTTATAATATCTTATGTCACGCAAACATCTGAGGTCACAGTCACAGACTCGGGCAGTTGAGTTTGTTCAAACCGTTGTGACTGTTGTGTGTCTCCACAGGCTGCAGTGGGGCCAAGTTACTCGTCGAAAACGGCGTCAAAGTTGTAATCCTGGCAGGGCCATCTTGAGAGATTTCACTCCAAACAGAAATGGAATCTGGAACCTTCATTCAACCAGCAGAAATGCCCAAACACACTGCGGCAGTGGGTCTTGGATGGAACCACCATCCATGATCCATGCACATATTCTGAACTAAAATTGGTGTACTGCACTGATGCACGTTATTGATATTTTGCGTGTTCGTCTGCATCTAATCAGCATTGGCAGATTGAAGACTGGTGGCCCCACACATCCAAATGCAGGATTGCGCTTGAACAAAAAGGAACAACAATCGTAATGTACTATATAATGTAAAGTGTCAGCACTGTTCCTATTCCAAGGTGTGCAATCGCCTGTGGGTTACAGTACTCTTGGTCTTCCCATGCCCTTCTCAACATTGTTTACAAAAAAACAAGTGATCGTCCAGGTGAGTGTAGAAGAAAAATGAAGAAAAGGGGTCTCAAAACCCATAAACCGAAACGCCCCAAGCACACATGGGATGAAGCGGGAAAGTAATTCTTTTGTAGACGATGATGCAAGCGGACACGTGAATTGCAGCCCTTTTGGTGGCCTGGCAAGTCCTTGGGAGCATGCAAGGCTTGAGTGATTAAAACCTGTGGTAAGCACGCCCTTGTTTTTCACTGGTCCCTGAAATTCCAACTTCATGTCGTTCCAGGGTCTATGACTGTTACTTTATGTGCCTTTCGTTTTCTCTCTGCTTTGACATTTGCAGGTGTGTCTTGCTTCGGAAAGTTCTGCGAATGGTCAATGGGCCGAGTCGTTTCATAGTGACAGTGAGACCAAGTGAGAAAAGCCAAGAGGGCCCCACCTTGTGAGACTTCAAGAGGGGTCAACACTTTGACTGGCTCTCATAAACTTGATGAGATAGCAAGAGCAGTGCAGGTATGCTCAATGTCAAGAGCACTGCGTCAAGAGCATCACTTCGAGCCAACAAGAGATTGAGTAGAACTGCTGGGCATCTGAATCTCTAGCAGATGCTGTCTATGTTGTCATCCAAGTCGAAGGCCACACTGGATTCCATGCGCGACAGTCTGCTGGATACGGCTGCCACACTTGCGTGCGCACACTGCCTCTTCAAAACAGCTTCATTCGCGATATCCACGGCTTGCCGCTCCTAATGCGGCCAGTTGGTCAAATTGTCAAAGTCGTGTGCAACTTATTATTCTTTTCGTTCAGCCACTGTAGCGCTAGCGCTACTCGACGACAAACTTCCAGGCTGTTCTGAAGATGCATCAGCATCTACTGCTTGCCCCGACATGCTCCAAAGGGATGCAAGTCGAACTTACTTCTCACAAGTCAATTCGAAGCCAATTCAAGTTCAATCTCCAAGGCAGCAAGTCTTGGACGAAGATTCAAACTCCATACCCGAGGCTGCCAACACTGCACACCTCCGAGGTGGCCATTTAAATCCCAGCCACCACTTCTTCAAACCAAGTTAATATACTTACAAAATTATGACGTATTTATATATACTGTCAATGTCACGAATGCACATTGGTAGATTTGATCCATTTCCATGTTTTCCGTTTGCTGTTGGGCTTACGAGGGCCCTTGACCGCCAATCGACCGCTACGCCTTTTGCAGAAATCGCTGCGCTTTTCGCTTCGACGGGATCGAGACTTCGAGGGCTTGTCATCCCCTTCAACGAGATTGGTAGCGGAGCTGGACACGATCCTCTCCGAGTATTTGGACGGTGCACCACGTGTTTGAAGTTCTCCCGGTGATCCTGTGAAAGGACATAGAGGCGGACATCTCACCGTTCGAGTACGGCTTGACAGCTACGATGAATCGTGGCTCAGGGACTGCAGAAAGATCAGAGCCACCGAGGAGAACGCAGAGAAGAGTCCGGACCCCAAGAGAAGAAGACTTTCCTGAAGATCTACTACAACCACCTCGTGCTAATGGAGGTTCCCCCGGACGAACTGGTGGCAGCAGCTACAAAGGTTTGGATTCTGGACTGTCCAAAGCTTGTCCAGACACCGACAAGCTCAACCAGAAGAACTACAGAAGCTTTCGAAGAAGAGTTGAACTGTTCGAGAGACAATGTCATAGAAGAAGTGTTGACGCCGCCATCGAGGGTACGCTTCTCCTGATCTCTCGATTGCAGGACTTGGCCTGGGATTCCACTGAGCAGATCTCCTTCGAAGCCTTGGAAAGGAGCAGTCGCCCCTTCACCTTTGTGTATGAGATCCTGGACAACCTGTATCAGTATGAGCAACAGGTGGAGGTTCCAACTCGTTGTGAAGAGTTCTTTGCCGAGTTCCAGCGCCTAAAGAATGAGGACATGACTTCCTACCTGGTCAGGCACCGGACTTTGCTGAAGAGAATGAAAGAAGTTGGAGTGGAAATGCCAGCTCTTCTATCTGGTTGGCATCTTCTCACTCGTGCCGGCGTTCCTCGTTGGACTCATGTCCAAGTGAAGGCATTATGCCAAGGAGAGCTGGAGTATGAGAAGGTTCACAAGGCGCTGATGAAGATGTTCGGAGGAGACCATAGGCCGAATCCGAAAGATCTCATGAAGATGACCGGCAGCTCCAATGACGTCATGTTCGAGGACGACTATGACATCGACGATGAAGAAGGCTTCTATGAAGAAGAAGATTTGGAATGGTGGGAAGATGAGATTCACTACGAAGAGGATGAAGAGTGGCCTGAAGAAATGGACGAGGCAGCTGACGCTGTCGATGAAGCTTTCATCTCCTACCTCGACAGCCGACGAAGAATGCGAGAGTTGGCCCTCTCAAGAGGATTCTTCCCAGTGGTAGCTCTCGGTCCTGATGTTGAGGGCAAAGGAGGAGGAAAAGGAAAAGGCAAAAGCTCTTCGAAAGGAAAGGGCAAAGGCAAAAGTTCCATGAAAGGAAAAGGAAAAGGGAAGAGTGGCTTCCGCAGAACCTTTGACAACCGTCGACCTATGTCCGGATTGCGGAGACCTACCAGTTCAAGCAACAGCTCGAACATCAACGACATCAAGTCGACCTTGTCTGGCTCTACCGGCCAACATGGACCTCGCTTCAAGCGTTTCAGAGTTCAGTCCAATGGTGTCAAAGAAGTTCCTGAAGAACAAGTCTCTATGGTGGAAGAGAATGCAACAGTTGATGAGTGCTACTTTGCGGCACTACTTCCTGGACAGGCCATCATCGACTCAGGTGCTACCAGGACCATCGTTGGCGAAGATGTCTGGAAGGAATGGTTATCCTTCGCAGGTGCCCTGGATGTCAAGATCACTGAGGCCACCCGTGACTTCAAGTTTGGGGGTGGTGAAGTCCTGAGATCAAGTTATGATGTCACCTTTCCTGTAGCTCTTCAAGGACAAGATTTGGTCGTGACTGCTTCTGTGGTGCCAGGAAAGACACCCTTTCTCTTGGCCCGACCTACGCTTGAAGAGTGGAAAGTGCAACAAGACTATGAAAAGGGGATGCTGCGCATCATGAATTCCGACTGGTTCAAGCCTGAACGTGGCCGCAAAGGACACTACATCGTGAACCTGTTTGAGAACAACACCATGGACGAGACCAGCTTGGTTGAAGAAGCGTTGGCCATCCCCGAGGAGATCCAAGTGATCATGCGAGAAGAGACAACCTGCTGGGAGATCGAACCTAGCATTCAAAAAGAGGTGGAAGAAGTCAATGATTGGGTGAAGTTGGATTTTGAAGATGAGAGCTTGATCCATGAGGTGCTCACCAACATCCATTCAAAGCCCAAGATGAACTTCTTCGAGGTGTATGTGGATGAAGGACGACTGGCGACCACTTTGGTTCAAGAGCATGAGGATGTGGAAGTGGCAACTTTCACCTTGCCTGATTGGGACTTCCGCACCATCGAGGCACAAGAAAGTTTCATAAGCTTGCTGAAGCGCATTCGTCCTGAGCATGTCTGGCTTGCGCCTCCTTGCACAAAGTGGTCATCCATGCAGAATCTCAATGCCCTGACGCCTGAAGCTCAAGAAAAGTTGAAGAAAGAAAGATGTCAGGAAGAAAAAGATCACCTCAAGTTCGTGGCACAGGTCTTCTACGTCTGTATCGATGCTGGACTTGGTGTAAGCATGGAACACCCACGAGGAGCAGAATCTTGGAAGACCAAAACCATGTCAGAGATGGACCTGACCTATTTGATGGACGCCGAATGCGACCGATGCCAGACTGGCTTGTGCGTGAAGCTTAGCAATGGCATGATCGGCAAAGTGAAGAAACCAACTCGCATTCGGACGAACAGTCCACTGG